ATCCATTCTGCTTGTTTTTGTAACATTGAGTTTCAAATTTTTCTTAGCTGACAGCTCGCGTGGAAACAATTCGATTTTTCATCGAACTTAGTTTGTGTATGTTTTGAAAGTGTTTCAGAGATATATTTGAATATCAATATGGTGCATTCTTGTGCTGATTTTAATTGTGCGGAAAGCAAGCCTATAACGGTTGAATTTAGTAGCTATATTAGAAAGGGGTATGTATGTAGAAATCGTTTTTTTAATGATATATGGCAGTTGTACAGATTGAGGATTGTAGAGTAAATTGAATATTTGATATGATTCTTCAATCCAGTTTGCTATATTTTTTTATTTTCATAACTGAATATCATTAAATAATGCATAAAATCATTGTTCAGGTAAATATTTTGTGATCTATCGACTTTGTGTACTGATTTTAGATATAGAACTTGTTTGCAAACATGATTTTTCGTGTACATTTTATTCCATGTGGAGAATGTTTCATCAATTGAAACGTTAACGAGTTCATATAAACTTCCATGATTAAATTGATAATTATAGGCTTCGTAAATTTTATGATTTGGCAATGTTGATTATTTCTACTGTTTCTATTGGCCAGTCGAACAAGAAGCGGGAATAGGGGCGTGACGTCACCACCCTACCACATTCGATTTTTAATAATTGATTACGGGAAAACTACGGTACTTACAGAGAGTAAACAAAGTGCACTGTTTTTCAATTTTAAATTTCTATCAAGTGAACTATTAACAAAAAATCATGAAACTAGCCCATTCTCTGTCGCAGGTCTTCTAGATTTCTGGAATTTATTCAATTAGTACTGAACGTTTTGAAATGGACGACATTTAGTTTTATCTGTTCTTGTTGAATCTTAGTTGTTGCAGAACAAAAGTAAGTAGTTGGCCACTGTCACTTCTTTACGAATTATTATTCAGTCGTCCTTGTTCACTGTGTTCCAACATGGTTTATTCTACTGAAGAAAGAATAGAAATTGTTGCAACCTATTATCGAAATAATGAATGTGCTAAAGCTGCGGCAAGAGTTTATAATACGAATCATCCAGACCACAACGTGAGCCGTCAATACGTTAAACATAACAGAAAACATGAAGTATATCGTCCTGTCAGAAATGATGGAGTTGAAGTTGCAGTTTTAGAACATGTACAATTGGATAATCGATAATCTATCAGACAAATAGCTAGAACGTCTGGTGTATCAGCTACTAGTGTTTTTCGGATTTTGAAAGCCTACAAATTCCGTTCTTTCAAAATAAGGGTAGTTCAGAAATCAAACGGAGATGATCCTGATCGTCGACTTCAGTTTTGTGAGGTGTTCAGCAAGAAATTGACCAATAACCCAAACCTATTATACAATACATGTTTTTCAGACGAAAGTTCTTTCATGTTGAATGGTGAAGTGAATAGGCATAATTGTCGTACTGGAGCGATGTGAATCCTCATTTGGTGATGGAAACACATTCACAAACTCCACAAAAATTGAATGTCTGTGCCGGCATTCTTGGTGATCATATTGTTGGATCATTCTTCATTGAAGGGAATCCTAATGGAGACACCTACTCAAATATTCTATGATTACATAAATTTTAGAAAATACTGGCAATTTAATAGAAAATTAAATAACATTCCAGTAGGATGGTGCATCCCCACATATTGATGTTCGGGTGAGACAGTTTTTTGGACAAACGTTTTCCAATGCGTTGGATCGGCAGAAGGGGTCCAGTGGAGTGGCCAGCTAGATCACTTGATCTCACACCGATGGACTTCTTATTTGATTGATTGATTGTTTTGCGATCGTACGGTCAATAACTACCAATACCAAGAAAATGTCCGGTATTGTGGAAAAACAATGCATGGCTTTTGCATCACGACAATGCTTGTTCTTAATATTTTGCCCTAAAACAACACCGTAATCATGCCTGAGCCACCGTATTACCCAGATTTGGACCCAATTTTGAAGAGACCGATGATTGAGGAAAAAAACGCTGGGACTAGTGTTTTATATCTAAGGGGGACTACTTTAAAGCGGACAAAATGGTAATTGAGGAAAATGACAATGCACCTTATTATTTGAACAGACCTCGTACATGATACGGAAAGGGGGTTCAAGTGGTAGCAAAATATTTTTTCATTACTGAAGGCGATATTGAGGAGAGATACATACGTATAATAAAATGAATATATCGAAATGAAATCTCGAAAAATTATTCTCTCCCAACCTACATAGTAGGTTGCCGGGGAAGTAGCCGGGAAGTAGTTGTTTTTCGGCAGGCATTTCAAAAAACCACCCTGTAGATACGTTGGGAGAGATCAATGTATCGAGAATTCATTTCAAGATATTCATTTTCTTATTTAAAGTTTGACTTTTTCTCTTAATTATGCAAAAACTCTAACTTGCGCCTTTGGTTTTATCAAAATGGTCCTCAGCTATTTTTATCTATATACGTTTGTTGGGTAATGTTTTTTCTTGTTATAAACTTATTTTTTATTTCATGTGCCTTTTGTATTATGGTAAATTTTTTAGCTGAGGATGTCGAAAAGCAATGATTCATCTCATTCTGCTGTAACTGCTGTTTATTTTGTGATGATGTCATTATCGACGGGACTAGGCGAATTTTTATCAAAAACGAACAATGAAATCGTCTTAATGATTTCCATAATACTATTTGCCATTTTCTGGAAGTACTATATGTTGGCTAAACTGATATCCTCACTATTCCTGGAAAACTTCCACAAGAAACAGCAGAAGTTAAGATTCTTCTTGAAAAGGTAAGAAATGATTGAAGTGAAACGAAAAATATTTTTGACCCCTATAATTTCAGATTTTCTATTTTCTATCGCATGCCACCATTGGGTTACCGAAGGTTGAGTGAAAAATTTCGAATAGATCCTTATTTTTATGAAGGCACTAATAAGAACTTCATCGAGAAAACTGTTCCTCACTACCTGTTAATGCTGCTACAAACAAGTAAAATCAAAAATACTTTAGGCGAAATACCACTATTCTTGATGGTAGACAGTTATTTCCTAACAGTAAGTAGTGAAAAAATGTTAGTGCTTTATTGGAGTCCCTAAAATTTGACAGATTTAAGTCACTTGGACTGAAATTCTATTTCATTTTTCTTCCTTAATAAGTAAACGGTTTTCGAAGATAATTCGCCTCTCTTCTATTTTTATATAACTTGCGCGGGCAGGAAAGCATTTATTCATTTGGTTCAGTACAAATTACGGAAGAGTTAGCAAGTGATGGTGATGAGTGAAACAATGAAAATGATTGTAACGTGGAATAGAATGTTCGTATTTTTGAATAAATAAATAACGATTTTATTTCATATCTTTAACTCCGAACCTCTAAAATTTATTTTTCATTCGTATCGATAATTGCATTGCATGAAATTCAAATTGAATTTGAAAAAGTTCAAAAGTAGTTGCTTGGAAACATTGAACTGGAAGTGCTTTTGAGACTGCCTGATCAAAGATAATCATACACCACAATTACAGTAACAAAATAGTTCTCCCCTAGAGATTTGACCTCGTTATTGAATTGAAAATTATCTGGATTGGAAATATGAATAATTACCTATGAAACGTTTTTGATTTCAAGTGTATATAAAAAATATTCCAACCATTTATTTTATTCATAGACAAAATTTATAAATACAATTAGACTCAACTAAAGTTTTGCAGCCCAACATAACCCGCTTCTTCATGAAAAAATCCCTTTAAAAAACAAGCTCCCTATGCCTTAAATAAAATGGTTTTTCATTTCAATCATTCTCAGTCAATGAAAACATATATTATCACCTATTTTGATGATACAGTAATGATATATGTATAAAAAAAAGTTATCGAGGAAAATTGACGAAACAGCATTCTATAAAAGGGAGGGGCAAACCGCGGACACGTGTTTCTGGCTATTGGCCTCGTTAGCGCTATGCTGCCAAGTGTAAAGATGGGCAAGACTTAATTGCCGAAAACTGAAAACAAAATAAACGAATGGAGTCACTAACAAAATTCTACCGCACATTTTTGTCCAGTCATTTTAGGTCGATTTAGGCCTGTATTTCGGCCTGGGTAACATACCCAGCTGTAAATTTGTATAAACTTTGTATTTTGGCATAATAAAAGTATTCTCAAAATTCACATATGATTCGACGGCCGCAACTTAAAAAATTGGGGGTCAAAAGTCAAAAAAAACGACTTTTTGAACGTTTTTTGCCAATATCTCGTTTCCATTGGGTTTTATGCTAATAGAGAATTAGATTCTCTACAACTTTTGTTTCAAACATTTCTTCATACGTTGAATCGTTTTTGAGATAGATGGCAGCGCGAGCGCAGATTAAATATTATTTGAAATCAACTGATTGTCCCGATCGAAATCAGTTCATTTAAGGTTTATAAATTATTACTTAATAAATAATTATAAATNGTGTAAGTTTGGGTAACATTAAAAGAATAGCTGGTCAAATGAAAACAATTGAAAATGGTAAGCATCCTCTCATTCAAAGCCTAGTAAAAAAAGACCTAGAACAGCATCAGAATCGAATTTTGATTATTTCGACAAGGGCCCTCTTCGTCGATATATAATCAATTTGTTACATTACTGAGAAAAAAATTCCCACCTTACGCCGCATAAATAAAAAATTCGTTAACGAAATTTGTTATGAGGAATCTCATGAGTCTCTGAGAAAAGTGATGAAAGAAATAGAGTTCAGATGGAGACAAACGAAAAAAAAAATAGAAAATTGCTCATGGAAACCGACGATTCAGCAGTTGCGAAGAAACTTTCTCAGAGACATGAAGAAATACCGTGAAGAAGGCCGAACAATAATTTAAATGGATGAAGCATATCCATGTCTCACATACACAGGAGAAGAGTTGGAATGATGATTTGCATGAAGGGTTGCTTACACCAATTTCAAAAGGGCAGAGACTTATAATTGTGAATGCAAAAGGAGAAAATGGATTTGTGAAAAATTCATATCTAAAATTCAAATCCAACACAAAATCGGGCGACTATCTAGATGCATGAAATAATGAAATGAGATTTACAAAAAATATATTTATTTATTATCAATATTCAGTCTTCAGATTCACAACCACATAAAAGTATTTACATGGTGTTTTAAGGTCACTTGCTAAGTTTTGTTTTTAAACAAAGGTAGCAAATGATAATTTTTTTATTTATATCCGAAATGCCTGAAATCTAACGTTTTATACTGGGAATTTAATGCATTTTTCCAAATGTATGTTCGAGCAGAAGCTAAAGTGCAAGGCATGTTAGGTACATGGAATTTTAGGTAAAAGAGCTCAATTATTAATAATTCATTCATTAATAACTTGATTATTAAGAACCTTGCTCTCTTTCAAAATTTTGATGAAGTTGATAGTTTTTGGGATAAATGATAAATAATGATTCAGGACATAGAGAGGCCGATGCAGCGTATAAGTCAGAGAGAGAAGACGATACTTAAAGGTAAGGGACGCAGAGTGCTGGGCGCACGTAATAAAAAATGAAGTTTTTCTAAATCTTAATTGAGAATATTATCACCTATCGTATAAGGAATTGAAATAAACATTTTGTTTTTTTTT